TTACGCCATCCCGAAAGCAGTAGATATCCGACAAGCACATGCCTCACACTGCTTGGTGTGGATGCACAATACTCCCCTTTATCGCCAAGTCTCTGCAGTTGCCAGAAATAGAGCTTCTTGGGTTCCGGTTGTTAATAAGCCCAGCCGTAAAACCTCGCAGCGTTCCTGAACGGTCGGAGCAGACGGGACCTACCTTGTGCCCTGCGCTTGCAAAAAAAAAATTCTTGTGCTTCTCTGTCCTCTTTGTGTCTTTTTTTTCGTAGAGAAGGTTTTCTCCAGGCAGCAACCGGAGACTGTCATAAAGGGCGTGGACGAACGCGTCTTCGTCTTGGAAGTCTCGAAGGCTTCGAAACCTTCGAAGGCAAAAAGTCAAAGGGAAACTTCGAACTCTTTTGCGCTAAGGGTTCGAGGCCCTTCGAGCCTTGAGAACGAAGGAGACTCGAAGCCCAGAACAAAGCTTTGTCTTTGCTTTCGAAACCTTGGAAGCCTTCGTCCACTTCGTCCAGATTCAGTTTTTGGATTTCGTTTTTCGTTTCAAACCCCCTGAAGTGGTGTGGTTTCTCATTTTTCGTGTGCGAACAAGCAAAGGTTGCTTGGAAAGACGGAAGGTACTTTTTCCTTTGTTTTTTCTCCGTTTGTAAACTCTTCGAGCGAAGCGTTCTGTGCTCTACCAGGATGGAGAGCCGGCTTCGTAGGCTGGCGACAAATCAACCGCTGGTGGAGACTACATCCCTCCCAACCTTCTCACTCTTGTCAAGCAGCAAACCTCCCTTCTGCAAACCCAACGAACCTTCCGTCTTGGTTCTCATCCCCTTCGACGCTGGTTTTGTCCTCACCTTCAACCTTCGAAACCCTTCGAAGCCCTACCTCCCTCCCTTTCGAAGCCTTCGAAACCCTTACGTTTAAGCCTTCACTGGCGCACGTTCTGCGCGCTGGACAGAAAAATCACGCAATCAGCGGTGTAGAGAGCGGCTGTTCAAGCCGAACAAAGCTATTCTGGCACCAACGTGCTTTTTGCGCAAATGAACCTTATTATGGCAATCGAAGATTCTTACCCAACTGTGCTTGTGAGAAGAAGGAACTCTGGGTACTTTTCATTTCTTCCAAACAAAACCTTTGTTCGCTGTACGGGTCTTTACACTGCATGCACTCTGTTTATTTCCTGGCGGAAGCGTCGAAATGCTTCGCTAGCGTCTAAAAAAAGAGCATTCTAGCGCTCGCACTGTATCTTTGCGTATTCAAGCACTCAACCTCGGCAGAGTTTCTCAGTGAGAGGCTACGTCCGCGAAAGCTAAAGTGGAAGGCACGCTTTGCTTCGTTTCCTTTCGAGTCTCGCCCGCACTGACACAGCAACTCTCCCCGAAAAAGGATGTGCGCCTTGCTTTTTCCGTTTCTTTTCAATTGGTTGCAGTCGAGAAAACCTAGAAAACGCTGGCTGTGCTTCCTTTCCAGTGCGCATCGTTCCGCACTGACGCAGCAACTCTCGGCCAAAAAGGCATGTGCACCTTGCTCTTCCTTTTCTTCTTAAACGGTTGCGGAAATCGTGAAAATGTATATAGAGAACACTGCAATTGTCTTAGCGTGTGGCGTTGCTACTTGAAGCATCCAAGGGGCAGGCGTTCTGCGGGAAATCTGAATCCAGTGTTGCCACCACGGTACTCATCCTCACCTGTCAGCTCGGCCCGGTACACATGCAAGTTTCTGTGTGCGAGACAGATGGTACGTTTTGATTTGCCATTCTGTCTCAAATAGAAGACTGTTTCGGATTGGAGAATGAGATTTGTTTTTGTGATGGAAGTTCGATCTTCACCTTGATAAAGGATGTGCGAACATGTTAAACATGTTGGCAGTTTTTTTCATGTGTTTGCTGGTTGCAGGCATTTGGCTTTGGTTGTTTTGTTCACCGTCCGGAAGGCAAGAAACGATACTCGATGACACATGTCCAGCCCAAGCTTTCTCAGTCGTAGCTGTAGCGATAGCTCGTAGGAAGTTTCATGCATTAGCTTACAAGGGTGAACCACCGAGAGTAGTAGTGCAACAACCCACGATCTTTGCTTAAAGGCGTCTTGGGAATGGTTTCATGGAAGTGTATTCGAGCTAGGATCTAATGAACTTCTCCCCACTGTCTCCAGCCTGGACTTGCGTTGGATCCATGATTTGTTGGCTCCAACCGTGCGACAAGAACATAAGTTCTTGCTTTTGACCGCATTGATATTCCACGGGCTGACTGAAATCATCGTAACTTCGCTGGATTCGTGTTCCGTGCCTCCAATGCAAACCAGAAGTGCTTCGACAACCGAAGTCTGGTCCAGAGTTCCCAGGTGGAGGTTTGAGAAAGGCTTTCACACCAAACGACAAAATTAGCTGCGTTATGTAAATCACAGGTCAGACTGGCTGCTCCAGACCCCTGCAACTGACCCGAAGTATTCACCAATCACGGAGGGTATCTGTGGATCGCAGCTCTGACGCCATATTGGTTCGCACGCAACGTCGCGACGCTTCTAAACTGCATCTTCCTTGGTTGGAGCTGTGGGCTCGGATGGACAGCTGTCTTTAGCATTCATTTTGAACTTCAGGTTCAGTCGTGGGCATGGCTTGTGAGCCTTGTAAAGGCAGTGATCGTTATGGTCGTTATGTGTGAAAAGCATTGGAAGGGCTCTCCAGCTGATGGTGCTTTTGCGTCGCTGTGCATTGGTGTCCTTCGTCGGCATGTTGACAACAGGCTGGCTTGCTCAGCACAGGCACTTGCCATAATTCCACAATAGCGAAATTGTGTTGGACACATGTTTCACATGCGCTGTTAGAGTTATAGGTCTGCAGGCCCCGTGGGCTCGTTGTTGCTTCTAATCAATTGACGATCAGCATCCCTGCGAATGATTTAGGCATAAGTGTGCTGAGAAACTCTGGATCTGGTGGTGATTCCTCAAGGGACAATTGGGTTATGTTTTGATGTTGTGCAATGCATGTTTGGCTGGTTTCCTGCATGTGCAACGTAGCGTTGTGGAAGGTCTCTTTTTCTTGCCGCAGCTCCAAAAGGGCGTGCTGTCCTCTGCGCCAACATTGACGGCGAAGAGCTTCAGAATGTTCTTGAGTGCCATGCCACACCTGACGGACGACTACAAGCTTGCAGCTTCTCTCAAGCTCAGTTCACTCTTCCTTTTTGGGCTGTTTCTCGGCCTTATGCCAAGCGTTTGACTACCGCATGTTGTGTGCTTGGAGTCAGGAGGTGGAGGCAGACCACAACTTGGCTACTCATCACACAGAGCTCAATTCGACGCGGGATCTTGTAGCAATCATGGTTGTCGGCCAATCTCGGCGGATGCTGGAGGACATTGAGAGAACTCGGTTGGCCTTCGAGCTAAGCCCTCGAATTCGGCAGCATTTGAGGAGCAGGAATCTTTCCACATCTTTCAAGTCGCATGTGCTGCACGTCTTGGAGCCCCTACGACGTGCTGGATTTGTGCCCGAGTATCTGTTGTGTATTGAGATGGGAACTATAAAGAAGAGCCAGTTTCCTTCAGAAGTCGTGCAGGCGTGGACATTTCGAGCAGATAGCCAGGTCAAAAGGATCACGACCTGCCTACGGCGTGTTCTGGAGAGGGAATGGAAGAAGAACATTACTTACAGCTTCTTCGTGCGTCTGAGACCGGACTTCCTTCTTCTATCCGACCTACCAGACCCACGAGAGCCGCGACAAGGCCCCGGCTGCATGCTGACGAGGCTGCGCTCGGCGGTGAACATTCGTGGACTCACAAACGAACATCTCTCCTTCTGTTATTGCCAAAAGCACTGCTGCTCTGAGGCTCTGCGGGGAGATGCGCCTGGATACATCGTAGACGACATGCTGGCACTTTCAGCCCGCAATCTTTTTTTGCGGCTCTGGCTAGGAAACACAACTGGCGAGGGGCCGCCAAAGCTGTGGCCTCGCTTAATAACTCCTATGGCCGAAACGGACTTCACAACCAGCTTGCTTCAGAAAGGTATACCAGTGTGTCCACTGGCAGTTCGCGGTTTGCCGCTTGGAAGCTTTGGCTCTGTGCACGCAACTGAAGCTTCCAGATGCGGATATTTGGAAGATGGGCCTGCCCTCGTGCAGACAGCTTGTGGCCAGAACCTGACTCCAGTTGAGGATGTACCTCTGCTGACACCACATGCGCTGCCGTAGAAAGATGGAAATGCTTATCCTGATAAGCTCTCGGCCTGTACTTCCCGTGACAAGGGATGTGAGGCTCCGCGCACCGTTTCGGTCTCGAGATTCAACGAGCCCGGCCAAACTTAACCATGCAATCATGCTAATGGTTCTGTTTGCATGTGAAAGTGCTGATGGCATCTGTGGGCTCAAGTGGCTTTGCCAACTTGTGGGCCACCCTGGCAGTTGTATGTGCTTGGGGGAGACACGCTGTTCGAAGCCCAGAATCATCTTCACAAGCTTCATTGAAGACAGCACACTCGTCCAGGTTTTGCCCATGACCTTCGGAGCTGTGCATGGCCCGTACTCAGACGTGCCCAAGCTGAGCATTGTGTGGTCTTTGCAACCATGTAATGATTCAGAGCTCATCGTGTCTAGACGACATTAGAGGAGTGGGATTAGTCGCTGGGCTTCCTTCAGCAGAGTGGCTTCTTTGTTCTTAGGTAGTTAATGCGGGGGTTGAGGTGCACACCGTCTGCTCGGAAGCGGCCGGCTGCTAAAGAGGTTGCAGAAGTCTCAGCTTTGGCGATGTGAAGTTTCCATGATGCAGATGCAAGCTGGCTGCTAGCCGTGCAGGCCAAGCCACACAGGGTGCGTGGTCAGTGCCTTACCCATGACCCCTGGCGTGGTTCATGTTGCAACAGGAGGTCGATCAGTTTGGGGCGTGTGACCTACGGTGTCTCTTTCTTCATGGTGTGGTTACTTAGAGCAGGCTTTCTGGCTCAAGCAACCGCAGTCTTTGTGTTTCTGTGATACCAGTGCTGCCATGCGCTCAGAACACTGCCAAGTCTTAGCCGGCGAGCTGGTGTTGCATCCCAGCTTCTAAAGGCTAGGAGAGATGGCGCTCGCAGCCTTTCGCGGAGTTGCGCTGCGGCCTCAGGGTAGCGAAAGGTGTGGCGAGCTGCCAGAGACTAGCCGAGCGTCTGGAAGAGTCGCACAGGCTCGGTGCTGGAAGGTCTACCAGATTGCGAGAGCCTCAACGGTTGCATTGCGCGTTGGATGGCTGACAAACCTTCTACCATCATGTCATCCCGAAGCCCCTCTGGCCAGGCTGGCGCGCCCTCTGGCACTGCCGGCAACGAAACTGCCACCAACGTTTGCACGATTGCCCATGCAGGCAGAACAGCTTGTTGCCTTCTGTGTTCTAGCAAGACATGTCTTGTGCGCCCACTGCACTGGACGATGCGCACAGGCCTCGGCATCGCGATCCTATATCACAGTTGCTGGCCCCAGCAAAGGGGACCGCCCCTGGAAGCATTCCGTGCAGTCGTCTTTCTCCACTAGGTGCAGAAGTACTCCAGGGACGACGTGTTGAGCCAGCTTGATGAGTGCCCTTGGAAAGATCCCCAATGATCAGATGTCATTTGCGCACGACGTTGTGGCAAAACCTGTTCCGCCAGGTATCATGCCACTGTCCAAAGCTTGGTCTAGGCCAATTCTGTTCAGCTCAACAGAGTGCACCGTGTTGACAGGATTCTGGCCTGTTAAAGTTAGCAAGGTCATGAGCACCAACTGGGCTGACTACCTGATCCTGGTCTACAGCGTCCCTTTCTGGGAGGCTGCGACAGGGTGTTTGGGTCCCATCCGCTCCGCAAGCTCCCCTGTGACGCATCGTGCCACAGGCAGAGCTGGAGACTCCTGGACCGGATTCTATCTTTGCGACGTCGTCAGGGTTGAAGGCAATCCATGTTCGGTAGGCCGTGTGCCTAGCTAAGGAAGCTGACTTCGGTCGTCCAGCCATACCTTCATGAGCCTGAAGTAGGCTCGCAAGCAACTCTAGAACTGGTCAAAGCTGGATCTAATCTGCATCAGGAGAGAAGTTCAAGACGGTCCAGGAGATGTTCCTCTACTCAGATTGCAACAAACGGCGGAGGGGCGGTGGAAGGTCTTCAGCATCCTGCATGTACGGATCCTCGCCACTTAGGATGGATGTGTTCTACCAGTGCGAGGACGGAGATTCTGGAGATTGCCTTTTCTGTGGGTTTGAATCTTCAAGAACATGTGGTAAGCAACAGCAAGCAGGATGTTCGCGACCACTTGAATGAGTTGGCCGAATTGGCGACGCGAGCTTCGGGCTTCATGGGAACTGGATTTGCTGCCGAGGCGGCAAATTTGCCGGGACACCTGCACAATGCCTGTGTCCGTTTCTGGTGGACAGGAGAAAGTCGAGAACATGGACGAGCATGCACTTTGGCTATGTTCTTTAGTTTCTGTTTGATGCCTAGATTTGGGCATGTAGCCATCAAGACGTGGGCGTTTGTATCAGGAGGACAGGGAGTCTCATGTCAACAGGCACTTACAGTCGTTCACCTCACTCGAAGTTGAGAAGAAGCATGAACAGCACTCAGACACAGACAACCACATCGCCATGAGTGGCATACTCGGACGGGTGAAGCTGCTTTTGGGGTTTCAATGCTCTCGGAGAAGTTGCTGTGTGACACATGTAATGTGTGCAGGGACAAGTTCGTCGAACGACGCTTACGAGGCAGCTACTGCAGGCTTTGCGTCGCCCGACGATTTTGAGCTCTTCTTAGCACTCTCATTTCGATGCCATGTCGTCGTACACCGCGGATGAGATCGCGGCGCCCATTTCGATGCTGGAAGATGCCGTCGACGCCGGCGTCGACCTTGCCCTCCACTTTGGGCATTGGTCGCGCCTCCAGCGTCGGACGTTGGCGATGGCCATGGGAGAAGGCCAACGATTCTTCAGGAGAATCGCCCTGTGTCGTCGGCTACCTCGACGGCATCCACAACCCAGAATCGCGCGCAGGGCGGCGCAACAGGACAGCTGGGACTGGGGTGGGTAAGTCCCCCCCCGCCGGCGATTTGGCACCAGACCGGCTTTACCTCGGAAGCCGAAGCTGTTGAGGTCCAGCGTCATGGCTATCCCACGTCGACCTCATTCTATGCGGTGCGTGGTCGTTTTGGCGACATACCGGCGGCGCCGAAGCCAGCCCGCGTTACTTGGATCCGCTGCCCTGGGCGCTTCCGGCTCGCTCCAGCAGGGGCTCCACCTCCGAAGGCCTTCCGATGATTTGAGGGGGCGGCACCTCGTCCGGCGGCGGGGCCAGTCCCGGCAGGCGCCTCGGGATGCGCAGGGTGCGTCCAAACGGCGCCGCCCCGCAGAATGTTCATGGTCTGATTCTCCGACACGCTCCGAGGCAGCCGGCGCCTTCGCCATCCTCGTCCACGACCCATTGCTGGCGAAATCCATTTGACACCGTCGTCGACTACTAGGCTTGCGTCGGAGATGAGGCTGGGACACATTCGACGAGGTGGCGAAGCAGATCACCGACGACAACCCGGCCTTCAACGAGGCATATGTCGTCGGCCCGGCCACCACCTGCCAAGAGACCGCCGGCGAACCACGACATTCCCCTGGAGCCCGTCTCCCGCGACGAGGCCCCCCACAAGGGGAAGGGGAAAGGAAACGAGGGAAGGGGAAATGAAAAGGCGGTCGCAGGGACCAGGACTGGGACGACCACTGGAACGGCCGGCGGTGCGATCGGGACGACCGTGGCCGGGATGACTATGAGCTGGTGAACTTGGCAGTGTGAGGGGCTGCCGGCGCAGAGTGGGAGTGGGGAGCGCTGGGCAGGATGCGGAAAGCGTCCCCGGCGCCGTACAGCCTTGCTCTGGCGAGGGCGACGGACCCGGCGCGATGCGCTTCACACCACTCAAAAAGCAGGGTTTGCCCGTCGCACCATTGTGGACTGCACGTCGGGTGTCGAACTTGTCGTGTAACGCATGTAATGTGTGCAGGGACAGGTTCGTCGAACGACGCATACGCCGCAACTACTGCAGGCTTTGCGTCGCCCAACGTTTGTCAGCTCCCATCCTCTCCTCCCATACTTGGTTTGTTTGAGAGACTTATGGGTCGTCGCTCTCTGGCGGGCGACGGTCCGGGCTGCGGACAGCGTCCCCGGCGCCGTGCAGCCCTGTGTCTGGCGAAGGCGACGGACCCGGCGCGATGCGCTTCACACCATTTACAAAGAAGGGTTTGTCCGTCGTACCATTTTGCAATGCACGTCGGGTGTCGAGCTTGATAGGCTTTTCAAACATTCCTGTGAACACAAAACCAGACGGCCAGACAGATCAGTTTGCGCAGTACCAAATTTGACACGACCCCTTACTCCTTCGGCACACGCAGATCAATGACAATAAGATGTTTGTCTGTGCAAACTAGTCCCCCGGGAGTTTAACTTCGCAGCAAGATCAAGGCCAAGCAGGCGTCTGAAGCGTACGACAAGACTCTTGGCGTGGTGTTTGCATTTTGTCACGCATGCTCGCTCCATCAGAGGGCGGGGCCACCCTCGCTAAATTCTACATATTTGCTGCTCCAGCTCATGATTCCGAGGATGTTGGAGAAGCATCCCGAGTTCAAGCCGAAAATCGAGCAGACTGTAGGACATGGTCTTGCCATCCTCCGCCGACGGCCAAGGGGAGAAGTGGGGACACGAAGTTTGAAGGCAACTTCATTGACAGCTCGGTATTTGCCAGGTCAGAAGCACAAGTTCAAGTTTGGCAGCATGCACCGCTACTTCTACTGAGTACGTGGCCAGGGATGTCAAGGAGAGCGCATCGACCCAGAACCCACACAGAGTTTATGAACATGCGGCAGTCGCGATGGTACTGTATTAGGCAGTAGTAATGGGCTTCAGGGATTGCTGGACTCTTTTTAACAGGTGTTGGACGCTGTCTCAATCGCTGCTGGCAGCACCTTCTGTAAGCGTTTCTTCTGCCCTTGACGTCGGGAGTCAGAAGCATTTTGATTTGTGGTGCTGCAAAGTCCCACATGCCAGGATGATTTGTTCAGGTATCGTGGCTTGGAGAGTGCACCTCTATCACTTGGAGAAAGCGGTGCAAAAAGCTGCTGACATAGCTTCGAAGCATTTTCCTCGCGTTGCAGCGCATCATGGACCTGTGGCCAAAGCGTGAAGCGTTCTTCTGCTGCCTTCGGTGTACTGAGGCACTCCCACCAGGGCCTCACCGTCGGGCCCAGCATCTAAGAGGCCTTCCCTACCGGTCTTTGCGGACGCCAAGAGTCTCTGCACAGCTGTCCTTGATCATCTAGAGAATCTAGGTCATCCAGGTCGCCAGAAGGAAGGCTGTAGTAAGACATCGGAGCTTTCTTGGCGGATGAAAGAAGAGTCGGGGGACATTTCGCCAGGCTCAGAGCCGACGAAACTGGTCAAGGCTGGACCGTGTCGGAGCCATTGCTCAGGGATCATCTTGTCGATTTCATGTTCAGAAATGGAAGAGCTGCCTTAGTTCTGTTTGCAGGAAAGAGATGCCCTAACTCAGCAACGAATGGTTTGCCGCATCACAGTTTAGGCACATCACCAGTTAGTCTTGTTTCCAGAGCATGCGAACATGTAGAGGCGTTTCAACCGTTTCTGTGTGAGAACATGCAGGGGGTGTTGGAACCGGTAGGGCTTTCCTTTCGTGGCACTACTCATGGCCACAGTGCGTTCGTATCGATGAAATTTCGAGTGTTTCGCAAATGCCGCTGCTTTGTAAGATTTTTAGACGTAAGTTGATGTAAGTATGGATGAACGAGAGAACACTGTGAGCACTGACGTTTTCGATGTTTTTCTCGACTCCAGAAGCTGACGTCCGTACCTGCGGTCGCAAAGATACGCATATGGAAGTAAGTAAGGAAGTAAGTAAGTAAGTATGTATGTATGTATGTATGTATGTATGTATGTATGTATGTATGTATCTGTGTGTGTATATATATATGTATGTACGGTTTATAAATATACAAACACGTTCATATTCACATACATGCACCTTATATATATATATGTATATGTATATATTTATATATTTACATATTTACTTATTTTATATTTATATATTTATGTGTTTGTTTATATATATATATAGATGTTTATATATTTATATATTTATGTGTTAGTATATATATATGTTTATATATATATGTTTATATATATATATATATTTGGTCCCCCCCCCAAGATCTACGATCTACACCCGCCTCTTCCGTATGACTGCACAGGTTGCTTCCCTACCTTGGTACATGACATAGGCACACCGAAAACACCGTAAATACCGATACAATCGTGCCTTTCGCCATGTGCATGCAAACCGCGCTGCTATATGTCGCTGGCTTGATATGCGTCTAAATCC